TGGGTGAAAAAGTTGATCGAAAGGGATTGATATCATCCCAACAGTGCTATCAGTAAGAAATCAAAGAAAGAGAGTGACACAGCGACGCGGCCACCGCTAAATTCAGCAAGCTTCTTGATGTCGCGAAATGCAAGTGCAAGCTTCAGCGCAGCTTTCCATGCCCAGTTGCCTGCACAGTGTATCAGGAGGAGGTTGCCATGAAGGGCCACTGCAGGCACCGGAAGCTTACCCTGGGGTCATATGGCCGGGATACGATTGCGACAAGGGAGGCTCGCGAGGTGCGGAGGATGGCCAGACAACTTCCGGGGCGTCGTGGCTCGGCCGCCAGTGAGACGGTGTCTGCTGCTGGACCTGAGTCGCCCTCCCCGCCGGCTGCTGAGCCCTCGCCGCCTGCTGAGCCAGCGCTGGCTGCTAGTGCTGACCCCGAGCCTGCTCCGGGACCAAGTGGTCTTAGCACTGACGAATCAGCCAAGAGCACGGATTCTTACACGGTTCCGTACATTGTAGAAGGTGGCGACGACACCGATTGTTCGCTCCGGTTGAGACCACTGCCACTGTAGATTATGGCTTTAATGATCTGACTAACACCACCCTGGCGGTTGACAGATACGATGGCTTGAACCGGGCCGCTGTTGCTATAATCAACGCCTTTCAACAAGACAGCAGAGACGGACTGGCTACTTGAAATCAAGTATCGTAGATCCTAAGAAGATCTGCTGCGCAAGAGACAGGGCGAGAAAGGAGACGGCTCGTTAAAATTTTGAAGCAATCCAAGGGTCAGGTTTGACCATCTTCTACTCCGACGGCTGTGAAGGCAGGAACTACATGAGCCGCACGGAGCCAGACGAATGCCGTCGAAAATCACGTGGTTTTCATCACTGAGCCAGGCAACCGCCCTGCACTTGTTCGACGAGCTACATTCCATGAGCCCTCAGTGCGATGGTTGCATCAATGTGCTAGGCTGCGATGGCACGGCCGCCAACACCGAAACGATAGGCGATGTGTTCCGACTGTTTGCGCTGGCCACCGAGTCACCCGCACGCTGGTTCACCTGCACGGTAACAAGCTGAATCCCCTCCGTCTGCTTTGATGGCACGATCACGGGATCGAATTTTTTTTAACCCATCGGCAAGACCTGTGCTGGAGAGGTCTAGGAGAGGGACGTTGTGGCATTCAAGCCTAGGTCCGAGCCCGTGCCAAACCTGCCAGTCGAACTGATTCAGCAGCTGAGCACCAGCCAGCAGCTGCTGTAACTTCTGGCCTCCGGCGTTCAAAACAGCTCTGTCGGAAACGTGGCAGCCCAGCGGCAAATCGGACCATCGAACCAGGCCAGGTAAATATGAAAACGCGTTTTCTTCGAATTCATAGCAATGAGTATTTACATTTCGTCAAGTATCAATCGATATTTCATGTGCTCACTGCTGATCATTTTCTTATTATCATACTTTGTGCCGTAGTATGCATACCACTTGCTGGTTGGTTCATGCTTACTAGCATATTTGTTGATATGCATTCCGTCACATTTAAGGACGCTGGACATCGGCATAATTACATACCCTAAAGAGGCACAATAGTTTTTGCGTGATCTAATGCTCAGTTCGTAGCAAATCGTTCTAGTATATTCGTTTTTGTTTTCAGATGGTTGACACTGGCCGCTCGCCTGCTCCTAGTTCACATCTCTGCCGAGACTTCCAGCAGCGCTCTCAAGGACCTCGTCCAGTGCGTGCTCGGCCACTATGTATCGGTATGGCCCGCCATCCGGCATAACAGCGGCTGTGACTTTGGCTTACACAGTTTGTTCCGGAGCATCGCGGTGCTCCGCGACCTGCTGCAGCACACATAGTCCTCCAGCGTAGCAGGTACTGGGTCCGTCCGGAACAGCTGCTGCTGGACATGGTGTGGGAGGAGAACCGCATGGTCCGCGATTAGGCGGTTCCGATCGTAGCGCCGCTCGTGAGCAGCAAACTGAGGGTCTTCTTCAGGCCAGGGTCTTCGCCATCTCAGCGGTAAACCTCGAGGCCGTGAGGTACACCGAACTGATTCCCTGGCACGGACCAGTCACACAGCCTCTACTGCGAGACCTCAGCGCCTGCATGCTGCGGAACAAAGTGCAGGCACCTTTGACCATCTTGCCTACCTGGTTCACACTACGAGTGCGACGCAGCGCCGCACTGCCGAGGACGTCTGCGGCTGGAGCTGGAGTTTCGGCAATATGTGGAGCCCAGCTGCGAAGGTATTTCTGCTACTGTGCGATCTCTGCCAACACGTGTTTTGGGTTTCCAGTCTGTGAGAAGTTGCTGTTTGGGCCGGTGCATCGAATACACAGGCTCGGCAAAGAGCAAGATGTGCACGGGGTCACCCTACCTCGCGCCCACCTCTACGTTCGTGGTACAGGCTGCAGAGCTTGCTGTATGTGTTAAGTTGTACACCAGACAATATATTCTGAGTCATATGCTATGCATAGTTTTGTTTGCATCACGTTAGTTGTCTTAGGGAAGGGAAAGTCTAAAGCAATACTAACCAGCAAACTCATACGAGTTCATACTCCACAGCACATAAAGTTTCCGCCAAATGGCAATCAATCGGGCAATGTCTGATCCGCATATTAGACCTAGACCGGGACATTCTCGTACAACGGCTAAAGTAGCACTCGGTAGCAACATTTCTATACGCAAAGGTATTTTGTGTCGCTTGCCGCCCACGGCCTGGTGTTACCTGCGGCGACGGACGTCGCCCAGCATCGGGTGACTGCAACGCGGGGCGTTGGTCTACGGCGATATTTCGATCGACCCGCGCATCAAGAATTTAGGCTTTTGGGAAGAACTTTTGCTATGCTGTGTACTTTTGGACTCTTGCGCCAAATAATTTCTTTGTCTCACTTGGTTTTGTTACTGATGACACACCCTATTGTACACGGTATGGTAAAACCTAGACCATAAAAATAGTACATACATCGATATTGTGTGTGTAGCAACTTTATTGCGCATGTTACATATGGGCAGCCCATAGGGGCCCTAGATTAAGCCTAGACACCAGCTTACCCCCAACCCATGTTGACACGAGCCCAGTTTGCCTACATATGGTCCATATGGATTCCAACAAAGCAAGCATTCCCTCGTCGCGAGTTATTTCTTCTTGACCTAGTAAATTCCGACGGGATAGTACAAGGCAGGAATATTTCTGGTGTGTGCGAAAATATGAATGGACGTGGATGCCCCATGTGGGACCCAGCTAGAGCCCAGTTAAAAGCCCGCCTGTAGCCCATGCTCACATTAACCCAGCTGCCCCACGTTTAGCCCATGTGGGAATGCTGGCTGGAAATAAGTGCCATAGGCTCGGAGCATGGGGTTGTCAGCAGTTTGGTTGGCCGTTCAGTCCCTTCCATAAATTTCCCGATTTAGTATATATGTTCCTCATTGTGTGATTGTTTGATGGCGTCATGGGACGTTTGTACGATGTCAGGGTGGCTGTCGAACCGGCCGTGCAAAATTGCTCTTGTAGCGGACGGGCTGACTCACTTGCAATACTTGAACTTGTCGAGACGTAACGGGCTAATCGGTGCGTCGTCGCATAAACCAAATATCGTTATGCGTGCGTGTTTTGGCGATTTTTCGCTGCGTTTTTTTCATGTCTGTCCGTGATTTTGTTGTTCACCTGCTTAGTTTTGACGCTATTTTTAAATCACTCGACTGCTAGTCTTTTTCCGCCATGCCTGGCTGTGACGCTATTCTTCATTTATTTGATACTTGTCCTGTTTCCGTCATCATTTGTATCACTGCTCAAGTTCCTGTATTGCATGGCAAGACACGTGATTCGTGCTCGAACTTGCGTGAAAGGCATCACTTTGGTTCAGGGCCAATGGAATTCCGTTGATGCCAGACATTGTGCTACTGACGTAAGCCGGACACGGATAGCTCGATGATAGCATTTGTCGTGGCCTTGAGCACTGCATGGTCGATGAGATGGCAGCATTTGTGGGACGTTTCTATGGCGACATATATACCAGCATGACAATGGAATAGTTGGCATGAAATAGTCTGCAATGGTTCGCGGGCATCAAGCTCAGATGCCATAGGGTTTTACGACTTTTAAAGAGCGCAGGGCTGTGAACTGTCCTAATGCTCTTTAAGATGAATATCTCAGTTCAAAACCCATTCAAATATGGAGCACTCCCTCTCAAGGCAGATTAAGTTCAACTTTGACCACCCGTACCAACTCTGTCTCTCTCCCCCACAGCTAGAAATGTGGGCCGCCGCTCATGGTTACGTCAGGCCAAATCGTATTTTAAGGGCAAGCCACTGGATGGTGGTCAGAGTACTTCATTGTAAGGAGTAATAAAATTCTGACACACTCAAAGGCCGCCTTTCCAGGCCGCATGGTAAAACAATCCATGTTTTCATACGTGAGGGTGTAGTTTTACGGAATGAATGAGACGAAGTGTTAAGTCCTTTATTAGATGAGGAAGGTCCTGATCGGTTAGTTCAGTCGGCAATGGGCGGAACTCAATTGGAAAAACCCGGTCCAAATCTCGGAACTCAAAGGAGAGAATTTGGGTTGCGACGCATACATGGCTGAAAGCGAGACGCCATCCAGTCCTTCTCAGGACCCAGTAACACCTGATAACGGCCGGGGAGTTACCTGACCGAAACGTTACATACATGCTAACACATCAGGCGAGCACGACAGTCAATTTTGTCGCCCGTAATACTATCGCCTCTTCCCAATCCTCCGGTAAAAACACCACATTGTCCCAGCTATACAAAAGGGGCAAGAGGCATAATTTCTGATGCATCATGTCTGTGTCATCATCATTTAAATTCCACGCCAAAGCATGCCAATCTGATTCGGTGGGCAGCGCACGCCCCGATGCCTCGCGCCAAGCCACTCATCATCCGCGGAGGCAAGCGTGCCACGCGAACGGGTTTGCGCGTTTCACAGCCGCATAGTCGAATAACATTCTCAGTGTGCTTCAGGCGAACACGGAATGCAAATGAGTGGCGTACTTTGGTTTATTGCGCGATACAACCGTAACGCTATTTTTCATCTAGCACGTGAGCGTTCAAATACATAACAGCCAGCCATTGGACACCCGTACACGTTTCAATGTAAACCCATATACCACGGCTTCCCGGTACGTCAGTAAAACCAAGCCCTGTCAGACCTGAGAGTCATCACCTGAAGGCATCACTCACGTTCACCAAATGAAAGCCGTCAGCGCGATCCTACACACTACCACGCCAGAGCGCAGACCCTGTTTGCCAGTGGAAAAACTATGCGCACAATAAGCGTACATGACCCAATGCGCAGCAGCGTCGACCTAATCAAAGTTAGTATTACAATACCTCAGTAAAAACAACCTGCGGTAAAAATGTCTGCACACTGTATACCGCATCGCACAAACGCCGACAGATCAGTCAAGCCGACGGCGCGGTCAGTCCTATGGGACTACTCGACAGACGACTGGTGCTGTTACCGCCACATCACCGGGACAGCCTGCAGCCGGTCGGGCAGTGGTAGCACGTTACGGGTAAGGCAAAGCTCGACGCGTCACCCCCGGAGCCAGAGAGGCGGATGTCAGGGCGGAGGGCGCTGCAGCCCAGCTGTCGCCGCGGGCGTGCGGGACACTGCGGCGCACCGGCCGCCGGGCTGTGCCAGCCGTGAGCCGGCACAGGCAGCTCACGTCGCAGCCCCGTCCTGACCTGGGCGGGGCGGCGGACGCGCCGCACACCGCCGGCGCCCCTCCGCTCAGCATGAGCCGGCGGACGCGTCGCCGGCCTGCCGCTCCGCCCAGGGCAGCAGGCTCTCGTGCAGACCCTGGGCCAGCGGCACGTGCTGGCCGATGCCCAGCCGGCGCAGGCCGCTCGTGTCCAGTCGGCTGTCCATAGGGCGGCGGGTACCGGACGCTGGCGGCGTGCGGCATGCCGACACGTGGTCCAGCGGCAGCCCGAACAGTGCTGCCATCTGCTGCACCAGGGCGTACTTGGTGACTGGCTCCTGGCCGCTCCATTGGAAGATGCCGAAGACCCCGTCGCGGTCCTGCGCACCAGCACTGGTGTGAACCAGCCAGCCCGCGAAGACGGACGGCGCCAGCTAACTGGGCCGAGGTGTGTGGCCGCAACACGCACTGTAACGACGTTGTCACTCCGCGCGTGCGGGACGGATGAGAAAGCAAGTGACTGCTGATTAGTACTATCCACAAAACACATCAAGTGAGCACCGATAAGTCTCAGCACAAACCGTTTAAGATCTGTGTATATGTTGCATACGCACTGTCACAAACGCAAGGCGTGCGTCGGTCATATGCCAGGCGCATCCGTCAGGCCACAGTCGTCCTAGCCGGCACCGCCCGTGACGCGTCCGCCGCCGGCCACTAACCTGGCGTTGTTTCTCGATCAGCTGGCGGCACATGGCGGCCACGTCGCGCACGTGGGCCGGGTAGCGCACCTCCAGGTCGGAGACCGTGTAGCCGCCGGCCGGCGGGTTCAGCAGGGCGCCGAACAGGACCGTGACAGCCGACTCCGCCAGGTACTCCACCGGCCCGTACAGGATCGGCACGCGCAGCACCAGCGAGCCTGGCGGACGCGCGTGACGTCACGCCCCCGGTCAGTGACCCAGTCGACCCGCGCGTGACCGTCAGGTGTAGCTCTAACCAACTTCGCGGGCACGTATGACGTCACAGCCCAGCTGGCGCTCCGCCGGTCTGTGCAGGGTGGGCACGGTTGGCGCCAGCAAGCCCGGCATGCACCCGTAACGCCACAAACAGGCTGGTTTGACAGCTACTCTGCCATCACAGAACATTTCAAAGTAAGAGATCGACGCCCGCAGTATCAGCTGGCCTGCTGAGCGAGCTTGATACAACAGCCCACCTGCCTTGTTCGGGCATGTGTTTCAGCGGCACAGTGTAGTACACATAATCAACACGCGAGATACCAGCTGGTCCAGCAACTGGACCACTTGTAAAGTTACAGCTCGGTGGGAGTGCGACAGTCCAAGCCAGCTCCTGTTCTGGGTCGCATCAAGACTGTACTATTAATAATCGATTGCTAAGGACTTCAGGCGTTTCTTTTTCACGCCCGGAGTGCAACTCGCGGACAGGCAGAACCCATGCATGTACTATACCAACAACGAACGGGTCACCTCAGATTGACTGGAGCACTTATATCTTGCTTAACACAGATCTGCACTGCGTTCGCCCATTTGGCAGTGCTCGGGGATTTGCACCCACTCTCCAGCTGGCGCGCCATGCGCCTCGGCGGTCCAGCGTTTCGGTTGCGCCTCCGCGGCCGCCGCTAATCATGACTCGCCTGGGCAGTGTTTGAGGGTGGCCTGCTCTCCCTCGTACTTGGTCTGGCCATACAGGTTGAGCGGGTTGGGCTGATCATCAGCCATGTGCGGCGGCGAGACGCCGTCGAACACGTAGTCAGTGCTGATGTACAGCAGCTGTGCCTTTAGCTCCGCTGGAACACGCAGCAACGTGGGCCTCCGCGTTAGCTTGAACTGGTTGCAAACATATTCCCTGCCAATGCGGGCATGAGTTGACATCAAATGATGAGCTGGTTTTCACAACAACCATTGTCTGTCGAAGGAATGGAAGAGTGTGCGACAGCATGCGCACGATGACGTGGCGTCACATACCGGCCAACTCCGCGAGGACCTGAGGCACGTGCACGTTCATCCGGCGTGCTCCCTCGGCGTCGCCCTCCACCTGGTCCGGCTGGCGGTACGCGGCCGAGTGGATGATGACATCAGGCCTCAGCTCGCGCACTTTGGAGCGCAGTGCGTCACTATCCAGCAGGTCTAATGCGAGCAGGCCTGGTGACACACTGCAGACAGCAGCAGGTCAGCAGCATGGCCATCGAGCATCTCATAGTACACCAAATGCTTTGATGCACCATATGGTTTGCAACATGCAAAAAAAGCTTGAAATACCACTGCAGCCCTGCATGTGCAGGATCATCTGTTCCCAGGTATACAGTGATTTATGTCTTCAGGAGTATGCTTTGTTCCTTTCCAGTCATGTAAGGTCATGATTTGGCATGAAAAGAAGTGAATGACAGAATCTTTGGCCCCTGACAGAGAAAATATTTTAATATGGTTCATTGCTGTGTTCTCTAACTCCAAGACATAATTTAACTGTAAAAGCCTAGCATCATTACTGGAATGGGTCAAATGATTCCAGGTAAGAGTAAAATTCAGCAAACAATTGTGGCTAATCAAAAATAAAACTGCCTAGATGATGAATTTGTCATGTTAGCAATTAAAGCCATTTACTTTAAATCCCTTAAACTTCAGATGGTCAGTTAATCCTTCAGCTTGTTATGAACAAGACTTCAGATGAGGCATAACCTTGGTACAAGCAGGCTTAACATCTGTACATAATTCAGCATGTTGTTTTGTTTTGATGGATCATGCTGATGTCAATCTTTACACCTGAATGTTTTGTTTGAAAGTTTGTGTTGTAATGGAATATGACATCAGAAAGACACAAAAGGTCACTGATATTGGTACCTTAGGTTGCAAGATTACATTGTTGATCAATGTATGCTTTCAACACATTAAATATCATAAATAATCATAGATAGGGGACTGTTCGGAAGGAATTGGTGAATACAATATTGCACATACATACATATATGTACATACCCAAATATTTGAGTGTATATATATATATATATAAGCTCACATGTACATATATATATGTTTATATATATATATATATATATATATATATATATACTTATGCAACTCACCGGCTCTTTGCTAATCCAAACACGGTGAAGCCATTTTCTTTAAAATCTTTGACAAGTGCTCTTCCCAGTAGTCCCGATGCTCCAGTTATCACCACTCTAGTCATTTTTAGCTGAAAAACGAGGTATCGTCAATGTCCCTCAAGTACTACCCGTCCTTTAAGAAGATAAATGGGTAACCGCCGCGTAGGTCTCGCATTTACTAAACCGTTCTCAGTCAATAGAATCGAGAACGAAGCTAATAACATACTGACATCAATAGGTACACAAGCCATATTCCAGCACCTCAGGCATCTTCTTATGGCTCCATGCCATTATTAATGAAAAATTCCCTATTTTATGGCAATAAATAGTACTTAGCCTCACCCCGTCACCAGCCCCGCCCCCTTCCGACACATAAACATGTAGTACGGCGGTCAACTGATCATGCAGATAGTGAAGGTCACAAATATTTTCAGCTGACTGTAATATGACGTCACATAACCACAGAATTCTGCCAACCTGGGCAGCGTTCCCCTTTGGCGAAGTACCTTCCCGAGTACCTACCTACCTATGACGTCGTAAAGCCCTACGTCATGCACAGGCTACTATAGCCCAAGTTCGCAGGAGGTGTCGTGACGCACTTGCCTCTGACGCTATAAGTTGCAACTTGTGACGGCGTTTGGTTCTCTGAAACGGGACTCTTGGTGCTCGCTTCGAACGGGACTTCACTGTACCGGATAGAACCGGACGGGATGGGGCGGAGCCAGATGGGATCAGATAGAGCTGGAAAGACCGAACACTTATCGGACTCTGGCTTCTATTTGATTTGGTCGATCCCTCGACATCGCATCATGCAATGCTAACCGGCCGGCGGAGCGGCGAATCGTAAAGCTACGGCGTCGAAGTTAAAATATATTTACACGTGCGCGGTGAGTGCGGCCATTTCCACACGACGGAGACAGTGGCTCGGAGAACGACTTGAGGCAAAACTAATGTTGTTAAAAGGACAAAATGACTGGTCTGCGCATGCCCTCGATTTATGCCGCCCAGATTCTTTCTGTGAGGGTCTTTGAAGCCGCAAATGTGCTCTTTGAGATTGAAAACCACCTTGGACCTTAAAAGCGTAAAAGTTTGACTGTGAAGCCCAAAAAGGCAGTAACGTGCCATCTGTCATTTAAGCAGCAAATGATCAGGCGGCATAGCGGCTGGAGCGACGTGGGGGAGGGGTAATACATGGGGCACGTACTGCATCGTCCGCGCTAAGAGGTGCGTGGAGGCCCGTTAATGTCACAAAACAATTAAAGCTCTAAAAAATAATAAATCTAAACTCATCCATTTTGCATGGAACGCCCCATACTAATTAGAAACACCTGTCATTGTAACACAGCATCAGAGGTGTGCAGCCGCGCGCAGAAGTACCGTCAGGGCCGCTCCGCACGGACGCTAGTCATCAGAGCGGCTCTGAAGGCCATCGGAATTCCAACAGCTGACGGCGTGGCCAAACGCTGTCTCGAAGAGCCACACGGCGGTGCCACCGGAGGCCCCGACTCTAAGCGAGACCCGGCTGTGGCCCACCGACCGCGCCTCGCTCGATCAGCCGCCGCCCTGGCCTGGCCCACGCGCCGGCGTCGGCTGCGGTCGCACGTCCACGGCTTCAGTCGAGCGCTGACTGGCTGGCTGGTTGGAGCAGGCTGGGCAAATGCACTGACGCCTTCTCACATACGCAGGTAGGCGGTTTCAGCACGTGCAGTTCAAGTCAGGTGCCACGCGCAGCTTGCTTCGGCTACCGGACGGCGGAGGGTAGTTCGCTCTCTCTACTATATGCTCCTTAAACACTCCGCAATCCGTGACGTGACTGTACGTGCTGCATAGACTGTATGACTAAGATAGACTGTATGACTAAGATAGACTGTATGACTAAGATAGACTGTATGACTAAGATAGACTGTATGACTAAGATAGACTGTATGACTAAGCCAAGCAAAATGTAAACGTTCATAGCTTCGGAAGCCCGTACAACATTGCATGTCAACCCGACTCCTGCAGCGTTTCGTTGTGCTTGAAACTGAATGTTTGCATTGTGAC